TGCATACTGCCACGCTTCCCACCATGCTGATGATGACCTAAACCCCTGAAGTTGTAAACAAGTTGCCTTGGTCACGGTGTCTCTTCATAGCAAATAGAGCAGTGACTAAGACACTAGGGTACAGTCCTGGCTGGTTTTATGTGTCAACTCGACACAAACTAGAGCCATCAGAGGAAGGAGCCTCAGTTGAGGAAATGCCTTCATGTTCCCTGTAAGACATTTTCTTATTTAGTGACCAATAGGGGAAGGCCCAGGCCATCCCTGGGCTGGTGGTCCTGGGATCTATGAGAAGGTTGGTTGAGAAAACCATGAGAAGCAAGCTATTGTGCAGCTCCCCTCCATGACCTCTGCATCAGCTCCTGCCTCTGGGATCCTGCCCTGTTGGAGTTCCTGTCCTGACTTCTTCAATAGTGAACAGCAGTGTTGAAGTGTAAGCCCAATAAACTCTTTCCTCCCCAACTTAAAAGTTTTTTGGTCATGGTGTTTAGTCAAAGCACTAGTAATCCTAAATAAGGTCATTTGGTACCAGCATTGTGGGGGTATTGCTGTGATAGACCTGACCATGTTTTGGGGGTGATTGTTTAAGGACTTTGGAACTTTGGGGTAGAAGAGCCATTCATTGAATTCTGTGGGATGTTCTGTGGGAACTTGGAAGATAATCTTAAGAGCAGTGCAGAAGATGGAGGCCTGGATTGTGAAATTTCAGAGGGAAGTGTAAAGACCCTATAATAGCCATTTGTTATTTTAAATTAAGATCCTGTGATTCTGGTTAGTTGGGGCTGAAAAATCAGCTGTGATTAACAATATACCAGAACTACTAAAGCAAAATTTTGCTTTGCTGGGATAGTTGATGCTAGTCAGCTGGAGCTAATAAATTAGCAGTGATGAAGAAGAGACCAGCATCCCTGAAGTGAAATCTCCTGGTGTTTTCTGAGAGCACAGAGAAGCTGTATTCCAGAGGCGGCCAAGGTTGTACCTCGTTTTGGCAGATGAACTTGTTAATGTGTAAGCATCACCCACGCGGTAATGGTTTTGAAGGCATGAAGGGGTCATGGAGAGCAGCTGAGGATTTGCACTGTGAGAGGTCAGGCGAGGCCATTGGTGAAGGTACAGACTCAGTGGCAGTTGAAGGCCCAGAACTGAAGGGATCATGCAAAAAAGTTGAGGCTTGGCACCATGAAGAGAGCCTAGGAGAGGCTATTGGTGAAAGCGCAGCCCAGTTGCCGCGGAAGACCCCAGCGTTTTGGAGATGCCAGTACCATAGGATGACAACCAAGAACAGCAGCAGCAGTGGAGTGGAGCCAGCCAGAGCCTAGAAGATAAACTTGTATGTGCTGCAGAGGGCAGAGCCAGAGAAGTGACCCAAGCCCTTTGGAGGAGTCAAGAAGATTGTGAGTGAATCCAGATAATCGGACAGTGAGTTATTTATACTGTTGGAGTTTAGTTTTGCTTGGTTCAGATTGTGATGGTGCCCTGGTTCTCCCTCTTGAAGAAGGTATTAATTTTGATTTTTTAAAGGAGCCCACAACCAAAAGACTTGAACTTTAAAGAGAGATTAGATATGTTAAAGAATCTGAAATTGCAATGTCTGAGTTGGTAAAGACTGTGGGACTTTTAAAATTACGATTCTAATGTGAGATCTTGGGGATGAATAAGAAAGGAAGGGATATGACTTAATAGTGATGTGTTTGTGTGTCAAGTTGACAAGGGTCAGTTGTACTGGCTGGTTTTGTGTGTCAGCTTGACACAAGCTAGAGAAGCTCAGAGGAAGGAGCTTCAGTTGAGGATGAGATCCAGCTGTAAGGCATTTTCTCAGTTAGTGATCAGTGGGGAGGGCCCAGTCCATGGTGGGCGGTGCCATCCCTGGGCTGCTGGTCCTGGGTTCTATAAGAAGGTGGGCTGAGCAAGCTAGGAGAAGCAAGCCAGTAAGCAGCTCCCCTCCATGGCCTTGGCATCAGCTCCTGCCTCCAGGTTCCTGCCCTGCTTGAGTTCCTGTCCTGACTTCCTTCAGTGGTGAACAGCAGTGTTGAAATGTAAGCCCAATAAACCCTTTCTTCCCCAACTTTCTTTTTGGTCATGGTGTTTTGTCAAGATGATAGAAACCCTAACCAAGCTACATTAACTCAAAAAAAAAAAAAAAAAAAAAAAAAAAGTCTAGCCTGCCTTATATTTCTCATACAGATGTTAATTATCAGCTGCCCACAATGGTAAAACATGAGTAATTTCTGCTGCTTGGGGCCATATCATGCCTAACCAGCAATGTGAGAGGATGTACTAATGTGATTTAGGGGGGCATCATGGGTAGCTTTCAAGTCTGGTGATGCTGTTGACTGAACTCAGAACCTTGTGTAACCAGCTAGTATATCCCCCAGGGACAGTTCTGAAGACCCCAGTGTATTGTTTATATGATAAGCTGCTGGAAAAATGTCTGTGTCTCTCAGATAAGTACCTGAAAAAGTCATTTTCCTCCTGAGACTTTCAACGTAGAGTGACTAGATAGAACTTTGTATTGACAAACTGTATGTTGAGCTGTAGCCCCTGCCCTTGGCTTTCTGAGTCAGGGTCTTAACTATCTGAATTCAAGCTGCCTTTTGAACTTACTGAAAGTCCTCCTCTGCCTGCCTCCTGAGTGCTGGGATTACAGGTGTGTCTGCTACACACAGCCAAAGTGTGGTTTGTTTTAGATTAAAGGGGCTTATGTGGATTAAGTACCTAGCACAGTTTATGGATAATGGCTACACCTAGACTTCTCTTCTAGGTTTTTGTTTTGTAGTGTTGTGTTTCTGGGACTTGAACCCAGGGCTATATAAGTGCTATGTCATGAGCCACAATACTGTCCTTGAATTTAGTTTTTATGCTACATCGTTTACATGTATATTTCCAGGTTTTTGGGATCTATGTTTCCTATCCTGGTTTATCAGGATTTGTATTGATATTTAAGGAAAACAATGGCATGTTGATATGTTTGTGCTTGTGTGCTTTTTTGAGATAGGGTCTTTGTATTTAGCTCTGGTTGTCCTGGAACTCACTCTGTAGACCAGGCTGACCTTGACCTCAGAGATTCACCTGTTTCCCGGGTGCTAGGATTAAAGGTGTGCACCACTATGCCCAGCTGACATAAGTCCACTATCCTTCTGTAGAGTCCATTGAGAACAAGCAGAGGCTTACAGTCTGGGGACTGGAGAGGTGCAGTACTAAAAGATGGGTTTGCACACGAGGTTGAGTTAGGCAGTTGTGGCACCTGTGAAGCCTGGAAGAGCCTGGTGAGAAGAGAGCAGCCCCAGTGAGACTCTCCCTCTTCCGCCATCCAGGTTTATGGTCTGTCTACATGGTGTGTTGTCTCCTCTATACAGCATGGAAGAGTCAGGGTTCCAGTGGAGCTCAGGAAGGTCTTCAGAGATGGGCTTTCGAAAGGCACACAGATAAACAAATGAGCACAATAGGGAGGACTTGGAGTCGGAGGGCCGCAGGTGGGCACTGGGGCAGCAGCCTATGAGGCCATCTCTGATAGGAAGGACTGGCATGGTGGAGGGAGCAGTCCCACAGAGCTGAGAAAGCCCTAGGCAGAGGGGATCTGAGCGCAGGCCGGAGTAGCCTGGGAGGTGGGAGACCAGGGCCACTCAGGCCTTGGAGTCCTTAAGGCTCAGGAGATAGCGGGAGTGCCGTAGAAGCTTTGGAAAGTTCCAAGGCAGAAAAAGGACAGTGTTGAGTTTGTGGTGTGCTAAGGTGTGATCTGGTGAATGGATTAGAGGGACAAGGATGGAAAAACACCACGTCAGGCAAAAAGAGAGCCTCTGTAAAAAAAAACCTTTAGGCTGAAGCATTGACAGTTCCAAGTTAAACATGGAGCAGACCTCAGCCTCCATTTAACAGACCACGCCTTGCGCCTGACAGGTCCCCAGCAGGTACAAAGAGCATGTTCTTGTTAGTGTCACTGGAAGAGGGTCAGCCGACGGGGTTAGTGTTTTCAGGTGACTGACAGGAAATCAGGCTTTAAAAAGCATCTGTGAAAAGCTTAAAATAATGAGAGCACAGTAATTTTTTTTCCTAGAAAAAATAGCAGTGAGACCAGGTTGTGAAGACAATTCTGTTAGTGAAAACAATGGCAGTACATTACAGTACACACCCAATCTGTGATCTTTTCAGTGTGCACGTGTGTAAAGACAGCTTTACAATTTTGATTGAACATATTCAGTCACTTTCCTATTTTAAAAATAAGCCTGAAGTTTCAGTCCAGCTTATCGGTCAATAACTCCATCATTCTCTTTCTCTTCTCTCCTCTCTCTATTCTGTTCCCCCTTGCCCTCCATCTTTGAGACAGGTCTTCACTCTGATCCCAGATAGGCCTAGATTTCCTGTGCAGCTCAGGCTGGCCTCCAGACCATGGCAGCCCTCCTACCTTGGCCGCTCACTTCCCTCAGTTACCGCGTTGCCCAGCTTCAGTCTTTGAAATGTTTCCCCTCGGACTGGGGAGCTTAGTCAGTGGTTCGAGCCCCAGCTGCTCTTGCAGAGGACTCGGTTTCGATTCCCAGCACCCACATGGTGGCTCACAGCTATCTGTGACTTCAGTTCCAGGGGACCTGATGCCTTCATACAGACATGAATGTAGGCGAAACACCAATGCACATACAATAAAAATAAATGAATAAATGTTCCCCCTCCTTCTTTTGAATCAAAAGCATCTCCAGTTATAGGGCCAGGGACAGCAGATTTTATCTAGTGAAGGGTCAGCCTGGTAAAAGGTAACCAGGGTGTGCTGCAGGATGTGTATATTTTATTGTGCCGACCTAGGCTTGTGCTGGAAGGGATGTCTTTAAACAGAAAGGACCTGATAAGTACGAAAGGTGATCGTGTCCTGTTACCCACCATTCCAAGGTGACGACTTCACTTGCTCTGAGCCGGCACACTCTAAAAAACACAGACGGGAAAGAACGAAAACAAGCTGATTTCTGGTCTCCTGGTGGTTTTGTCCTGGTGTAACAGTCTCTTTTCTCCCACAGGAGTTCTGTTGCTTCCAAGGGTAGAAGACGGGCTAGCAAGAGTCCGCAGTGTCTGCCTCCTCATCTGCCCTTGCTGAATACTGGTTTACAGGAGAATTTGAGCACAGCTCAGAGCCACTGGTGAGTAGATGCCATCCCACCCTCCCACCTGCTTCTTGTACAGCCTTTTAACAAATGTAGGGCACATATGTGCACATGCAAGCACACACACACACACACACACACACACACACACACACACACACATATACACAGACACAGTGCAGACTCTTAGAACTTTGAGGTTTGAAAACACAGTGCACTTTAATTGGGTTCTTTAAATTTTTGCTACTGGGAAATAATGGCGATTTTATAATAATAAATGGGTATAAATGAAGGGATTTTGAGAGAAGGTAACTCACTGATCAAAGTAATGGAAACACTTTCCTTACATAATAGTTACTCTCTAAAAACAGCGATGCTTACATGCAGGTATTAACATGTTTAAAGCATTCTCCTTGGTGCTGTGTTTCTCTGTGCTATTAAAATGCAAATGTGTAGGTGAGGCTGTTGCTGTAACACTTGACAGGTCAGCTGGGGCTGCCTGAGTGAGGTCTCTCCTTTCAGAGTGGGTTGGGGTTAACTGAGGTCCGTGGGGGTCTGGTGGACACCGTGCTGACAGTTCTCTTGGAAAATAGTGGCTATGTTATGCTCACGTAGCTAAGATTACAGAGTCTTTCTGGACTTGTTTCTTCATCACAGGGAGCAGGTGGAAGGACCCTGGCCTCCGTAGTTAAAGCACAGCCAGTTATCTCGATAGCAGTGACTTCTCAGAAGAGACCGTTTCTTCTCTTCTCTTCTCGGAAGCATGAGCTGCCTTGGAGTTTTTGGACCCTAGTTAATAGTGAAGAGTGGGTCTTCCAGATAGTCCTCATTTCATTGGGGTGCTTTAATTTGGGTCAAAACACAATGCTCTCCAGGATGATAGCCACTTGGCCACGTGCAGCTCCTGAGCACTGAGATGGTAGTGCTGTTTGAGATGTACTCTGCATTAAAATATACACTGTTTCAAGTATTTAATAGAAAAAGACCATACAGTAGGGCATGATGGCGCCCGTCTTTAATCCCAACACTCGGGAGGCAGAGGCAGGCGGAGCTCTCAGAGTTCCAGGCCAGCCTAGTCTACATAGTGAGTTTCAGGATGGTCAGGACTACATAAAGAGACCTTGTCTGAAAACAATAAAATATAAAACAAAACAACAACAATAAAAAAAAACCCACGATATTTAAATTTTTCATGAATAATAATAGTTAAAATAACCTTTTTGATACATTGAATTAAATAAAACATTATTAAAATTTCACTTCTCAGCCGGGCGGTGGTGGCGCACGCCTTTGATCCCAGCACTCGGGAGGCAGAGCCAGGCGGATCTCTGTGAGTTCGAGGCCAGCCTGGTCTCCAAAGCGAGTTCCAGGAAAGGCGCAAAGCTACACAGAGAAACCCTGTCTCGAAAAACCAAAAAAAAAAAAAATTTCACTTCTCCCCACTTCTTACCCTGTGACAGGTAGATATTTCTCTTTTCCCACCTCCTTTTTCTTTTCTTTTTAAGGTAGGATTTTGCTATGTAGTCCAGGCCATCTTTTAGATCTCTTGCCTCAGACTCTTGAGTGCTGGATTACAGGCATGGTGACACATTAGATTATTTTAATTAGAAAATTTTAAATGATTTGTACCTTGAATTTATCTGCCTATCTCTTTTTGTTCTTATCTACTTAAGGCAGGGTTTTTGCTATTTGTTTGTCTCTAAGTCAGGGTTTTGCTGTGTATCCCAGACTAGCCTGGAACTCATGTGAATCCTCCTGCCTCAGCCTCCCAAGTGCTAGATTATAGTCTTGACCACCATACTCAGCTTTGAATTGTTTCTTTTTTGACAGGCTTGTCTCTGTCATCATGTATGGTCATTCTTAATCCTCCATTCTTTAGTGTTTTCTACTCCTTCAGCTTTCTTGTCTGTATGGATAATCATATAATCTACTTTGTTTGATGAAGATGATTATTCAATTTGCCAAGTGTCACCATGTGCCAAACAATATCCTAGGTGCTCCTGGCACAGTAGCAAGCAAAACTGCATTTGTGGAACATTCTAGATACAGATACAGAACCAATGAGTGAAATTGGTTTTATGATGCAGCATGAACTTTGGAGACCTGCCAGGCAGGCAAAGATCGGGGACTCAGTGCCATGTGGTGTGATTTCAGGAAGGCTTCCTTCACTGAAAAGAGGGCTCCTGGACAGAGACTTGAAGACAGCAAAGGAGTCCCATGGGACAGGAATGGTAGAAAGAGGGGATGCAAATGTAGAGATCTTAGGATGCAAGCATGCCTGGTTTAAGCATGCCTGGTTTAAGCATGCCTGGTTTAAGCATGCCTGGTTTAAGCATGCCTGGTTTAAGCATGCCTGGTTTGCCTGAACAGGAGGGAGAGGCTGGTGAGCAGAGCGGGACAAGGAGGGGAGAATGCAGATGGGTAGGTAGTTCATCATGGAAGCGGTGCTTACACTGAGAGTTCTGCTTCCAATGAGATGAAGAGGAATTGGGTTTCAGGAAGAGAGGCATGTGGTGCCTGCTCTTCTGAGGCTGCTGTCATTTGAATGCTCTGGGGTCAGGGCACTTACAGGGGGAAGCAGAGAGTATTCAGGGTACAGCAGTGACCAAGGTCATGGTGCCTGAGTTCGAAAGTAACTAAAGGAAGTGAGACGGGGTTGGCTGGGGTGGCGGGGGTCAGATAGCGACTAGACATTGTGGTCTGTCCTGTAAAAGTCAGGAAAGCTGCAGCAGGAGGGGGCAGTGCAACTGATGAGGCTAGATCAGGTGGGATCCGAGGGTTGATGATGACTGGATTTAGCTAGGACCTTGACGGTGGCGAGGTCAACAAAACCAACAAGGATAATTGGGAGGATGCTAAGAAATCAAGTCTAGACCCTCTCAAGTCAAGAGTCTAGGAAGTGGTTGTTTTTGCGATGGCTGTCCAGACTGTGACAGGGAAGGCCGTGGGAGCAGGGTGCCCCCTTAGGTGCCATGGTCTTGCTCTGGGGCGGGAGGGGGATGGAGCAGGTGAGAGGCTGGCACCGATGCCACTCAGAGTTGCTTTGCAATTATTATGACATTTGGCTTCATTTCTCCTGGCTGAGTGCCATTTACATTCTGACAATCAAAATTCTTAAGGAACAAATGTTAAAACTAGTCCTTGTCAACTCGAAGTGCTGAAAGGCTGGTACTTGGGAATAATTCCCTTTCCTTTTTTTTTTTATTTTATTTTATTTTTTTTAATTTATTTTACAATACAATTCAGTTCTACATATCAGCCACGGATTCCCTTGTTCTCCCCCCTCCCGTCCCCCTCACATTCCCCCCAACCCCCCCCCCCCATTCCCATCTCCTCCAGGGCAAAGCCTTCCCCACAGACTGAGGTCAACCTGGTAGACTCAGTCCAGGTAGGTCTAGTCCCCTCCTCCCAGGCCGAGCCAAACAATCCCTTTCCTTTATTTTTAAGGAAGTTAATCAAGACATTTGAAGAAATAAAGGCTAAGACATGCCCAAAGCCACAGAAAATAAAGTGTCGCCTGAACATTTAGATCCGTAGATCTGACTTCAGAGTGTGTGTCTTTATTTAGGTGTTCTAACCGGGTGGTGTTTGCCGTGACACCTTTGTGAAGGGCCACATGGGGGCAGTAGGTGAGCACAGGGAGTGCTGGGAAGTGCTGACCCATAAGAAGAAAGTGTGGAGGTTAAGTTCAGCTGAAGGTTTGTCATGGCATTCGGAATAAGGGGAGAAGTGGAAGCTGCCAGATCCTGGGCTGATGACAACTAATTCACAGTGGTGTCAATGGGTCCTCCAGAGATACTGCCATTTGCCCTGTCAGATGTGGTGTTTTGATAAGAATGGTCACATAGGCTCTTACATTTGAATGCTTAGTCACCAGGGAGTGGGACTCTGAAAGGATTAGATGATTAGGAGGTGTGGTCTTGTTGGAGGAAATGTGTCACTGGGGGTGGGCTTTGAGGTTGCAAAAGCCCAAGCTAGGCCTTGTGTGTGTCTGTGTGTATCTGTGCCTGTCTGTCTATCTCTCCTTTCTGTGGATCAGGATGTAGCTCTCAGCTCCAGTGACTGCCTGTATGTCACCATGCTCCCACCATGATGGAAAAAAAAAAAAAAGACTAAACCTCTGTAACTGTAAGCAAGCCCCCAATTAAATGCTTTCTTTTACAAGAGCTGCCTTGGTCATGGTGTCTCTTCACAGCAATAGAACACTAAGACATCAGGCTTTGCTAATGACGACACGGAATCAATCAATCCTGTTAATCCTGGAGTTCTGTGGTCAGAGTTTTGACTGAAGTCCAAGTAGTCAATCAGTTTATCCTCAGAAACCTCAACATTTCAGAACATCTGCTGTTTGGGTCCTAGAAGTAATATTAGCTGGCATGGTGCACGGGGTCATTCTCCCTGTGGAAGATACTCAAGTTAGAATGATAAGTGTTATATTTCACATGTAGAAAGCACATCTATATTTCATCCCTGAGGTAGAACTAGAGTTACGCTTTATTTTCATAGTACAGTCCTTTATTTAGAGGAAACTGAAAACTGAAAGATGAAGGGCCAAGCTGGCATGGTGGCCCATGCCTTTAATCCTACTCTTGGGAGGGATAAGATCCTTGGAGGCAGTAGACAGTAGCTAAGGGGTCCTGGAGCACCTTCTGTCTGGAACTGCCCATTGTCTGCACTGGATCAGGGACCAAATTCTAGAGTACAGCCATTTTGCCTCTAAATACCCTCATATCTAAAGTAGGAGATTGCATTTTTGTGGGGGGGATAGGACCCTACATTTTACATTTTTTTTTTGAGAATATTTTTTATTCTTTGGTTTCATGCATCCATGCATACAGTGTATATCTTGGTTGTATGCACCCCAACTCTCTATTACTTCCTCTGACACCTATAGCTGAGGTTTTCTCAGGTCCTGCCCAGCCCCACAGACCCTGCAGCCATTTATAAAATAATCACTCAGAAGGTTATATTAATTAAAACTGCTCGGCCATTAGCTCAGGCCTACCACTGATTAGCTCTTACATTTAAACTAACCC